CCTCCCAAAGGTCTCCTCCCTTTTCCACGCTGCGCAGGACATCGTCCTCCCGGCCTTCTTCCAGTCCCCTTCTACCCCTCTGGAAACCTCCCTTCATCTCCTTGATGTCCAGAGGGCAGTCTTGTACTATCTGGACCACACCAAGCCCTTCCGGAAGTCCCCCTGTCTCCTCCTCCAGTACCGTCAGGATACCAGGGGCAATCCTCTCTCTCCTCAGCGCCTTGGGGCATGGGTTCTGCATGCCATCCGCCTCGCGTATGACCTTTCGGGCAGGGACCCGCCACCGGGCCTTAAGGCGCACTCCACCCGGGCCGTTGCGACCTCCACTGCCTTCTCCGGGGGCATCCCGCTCGCCGACATCTGTAAGGCAGCCACGTGGTCTTCCCCGCTGACGTTCGTCCAGCACTACAAGATCGACCTGCTGTCGAAGCGCCAGGCGGCGTTTGGGCGAACTGTCCTCTTCTCCTCCTTGGCATGACTCCCACCGTCCACAGTAAGTGGCTTTTTTATTCTACCACATGTGTGCATTCCACAGAGACCACGAGAATGAAACTGTGGTTGCTTACCTGTAACCATGGTTCTTCAAGTGGTCCTCTGTGGAATCCACACATCCCCGCCTGACCTCCCCACATCGCTCATGCATGCTTTTGCGCGGAAAAAAGGGAACTGACTCTGAGCACGTGGTCTGGAGAGCAGGGGCGGGGTGGTACTTGGTTAATAATTTATTAGAATTTCCGGAACTGCTGCACGTGGGCATCAGAATACCACATGTGTGGATTCCACAGAGGACCACTTGAAGAACCATGGTTACAGGTAAGCAACCACAGTTTATGTTTAAGGTTAAGATGGGGTATATTGTTGTGTTTAAATCAGAGGTTGAAAAAGTTACTTTTCTGGATCACAATTTGTGAATCCTTCTAGCTGGATGGAGGATTCTGGGAATGACTGTCTGAAAAGGCAACTTTTCCAAACTCTGTATGGTTATACAGTAGTCGCTCTATATCCATGGGTTTGGCATCCAACCTTGGATTGAAATCCCAAAAGCGTACCTTGATTTTTCCATGTTCCAAGCACTACACTGCTATGAAGGCATATACTGAGTTGTTTGCCATATTGTATTAGTGCCATGGTATATAATGGGAGTTGAGCATCCATGGATTTTGGTATTCTTGAGGAGGTGAGATGTCCTAGAATTAAACCTCAATAGAGGAGGTATATTTGGATGGCCTACTATATATGAAACACAGAGCAAGAGTGAGAGCCCTTCCAAACAGCCATATAACCCAGAATATCAAGGCAGATAATCCACATTATCTGCTTTGAACTGAATTATGTGAGGTTACGCTGCCATATAATCCAGTTCAATGTGGATTTTATACAGCTGTGTGGAAGGGACCTGAGATATAGTGTTTTTCCAGATTGATCTAAAGTAAGCTTCTCATATAGCTCTTTGGCTTTTGTGAATTGTTGTCACTTTTGTCCACATAATCCATTAATTTTGCAGATTATTTGAAGTATTTCTTGAATTTGCATTCAAACTCCTCCATTTTTTAAAATGGGTCATATGCTTGAAAGGGCAAATTTTTTCTGGTTTAAGTATTTTATTTTTACTATTGCATTTCATTTTATTTTTAGAGTTATAGATTCATAGTGGGAAAATGCAGTTTTGATCATTCACTATTGCACTGTAAATGGAAAAAATGGAAAAAAATGAAAAAAAAGGAACATATTATTCTAAAAGGTTTTGGAAATAAAAAGTAGCCCAGTTGAGGGTGAGAATAAAATATTGTCACTGGTGTTGATAATTGCCAAAAACCAGCCCAAAATCATAGAACACATATACTGTAGCCTCTTTACACATTTGCTCCATAGTCTGTAGGAACCTAAAAATAACATGAAAGAAGTCTAAAAAACAACAACAACAAAAAGAGGGACATACAAATAAATGGTGCACACACTTCTGGTTTTCCTTCCTGTAGCCCTCTCTCCAAAATCTTTTATCCACTTTCATCAGACTCTGGAGGATCCTTCAGTTGGATGCCTCCCCATCCCTTTACTCCTGAAGTACTCCCATCTTTCCCCCTTGCTTGCCTACACTGCTCTGCCCTTAACTTGCTTCCTATACTGGACCTAGTCCACTCCGAGTCCACTCCACCTCCTAGAGAAGGAGGACAAAGTGTGCAGAGATTGCTGGTGTTTCTCTCATTGGTCAGAGAAGGCAATGAGCAGCCAGGTGCAAGCAAATGGCTCAAGATGATCCTGGGAGTCCCACTGGATACCCTGATGGCCATTAAAGGGAAGAAAACAATGCTGGTCTCTGATAGTTACCCCAGTTGTCATCCAGTGTGGCAAGTCATTGTATCAACCCCATGGACATCTACGCATACCATATTTTGATAAACAAAAAAACCCAAAAAACAAATCTGCTGAAACAGTGCATAAAATTGTATTGAGATAGTCACTTTAGTGTTACCCTCTCTGATGGTGTCACTCAGTGGGTGGTCGGTACCCTCTGCAGGCCTCTATTGATGCCAACAAATGGTCTTGATCCAGCTGAGAACACATTTTACTCCCCCTATTAAGAATATATTCCCCTTCCCTTTCTGTGAATGCAAAACCATGTAGTGAGATCACAACTATTGCCCGGTCTGAGTCAGGTATATGATGGTTAAAAACTCACCCTCTCAATCACTGTGCTGTACCAATTCTAAAGGTGGTCCAGCTCCGTTATATTTTCTGCTGCAGAAGCGGGGCTCTTTTCCTTCCTTTTAATGCCTTTTATTCTTCTATAAAACATTTGGCCTATTAAACCTAATAAGAATAAGTTATTGGATGCCTTGACAGTGACTTAACTGTGATTGCACAGGAAAAACCACAGTGGAGTAAATGACCCCTCTGCCCCTAAATTGGTGGCCATTTTTTAAAAATGAGCAATGAATTCTTTTTTGCCTTTCAAGATAAGATACCAGCCCGACAAATCATTTGCTTTACTGGCTTATATCTCACCCCTATTCATTTAGGGCTAGTGCCAGGAAAGAATAATAATAAAAAAGATTTATGAAATGGGATCATGGAAGATGATATCTTCCCGAAAAAATATAAATGTAAAACTAAAACCACTATTTATCTCCTGCCACTAAAATGCATATGAAACAGAGCAGGCTTAGCTGCCTCCATATGTTAGTCCAGATTTTGTCAAAGCAGAGCTGAGCATCAGTTATTAAGAATGCCTGTCTCTCACAATAATTGGAGGACACTATCAATAATCACTCTCTGTCAAGCACAGCGATTTATAATGGGGCATGGCAGAGGAGACAGTTTCTTTGATAAGCAAGACCTGAGTGTATCATTATTCATACTAAATGTATGGCAATGGCACTAGGAATAAATGGCTCTCCGCTAAACTGTATGCCATAGGTTACTGTGGGACCGGTAGAAGGTTTGAGAAGGTGCTGGTCCCTTTTGGGCACTCCCCATAGTCAAGGAGGTGATGGGATGGGAGGTAGGGCTGCAGCAAGTCGCAGCAGAGATGTGCTTGTAGTGCTCCGGACATGGAAGGGAATCACTAGATGCCAGAAATGTTCTGTGGAAAGATGGTGGCAACTGCCTCACCAGACAGAGACAATTTTGGCATAAACTTTGGTAGACTGAGGCTCCATCAATGCTGTCATAGGTTGCAGTTTCATAATGCAGTTCAGTGCAGTTAAACTGGATTATGAAACTGCATTATATGGAAGTATAGATTTATTTACTTATTTATTTCCTATATTTATATCCTATTTTCTCTCAGCAAGGGGGACTCAGAGCAGCTTACAACATGGTAATATTAAATGTCATATATACAATGAGATAAAATACGATACATCATATACAAATTTACAGGAAAAAACATATAAAAACCATAAAACTAAAACATAAAAAAAATAAAACTGTTAAAACCATGTTACCTATTCCAGAAGTTGTTATTTGTATTGCTACAATTGTGCCAGATTGCATTATCCAAGCCAGGTCTTCACTCCTTTCCTGAAAACCAGGAAGGTGTGGGGGCATTTTGATATCACTGGGGAGGGAGTTCCATAGCCAAGGGGCCACCATTGATAAGGCCCATTGATAAAGCCCTGTCTCTCATCCCCACCAGTCACACTCATGATTGGGGTGGGACTGAGAGCAGGTTCCCACCCTAACAGGTTCATAGGAAGAGATATGTTCAGACAGATGTACGGGAGCCGTTTAGAGCTTTATAGGCTAAAGCCAGCACTTTAAATTGTGCTCGGTAGCTGACCAGCAGCCAGTGGAGCTGACATAACAGGGGAGTTGTATGTTAAATGGGGCCTCAGTTTACTTAGACCTAATACTGTAAAGCTGCAGAAGGTGTGAATGCCATAGTTATCTCTTCTACTTGCCGCACTCTGCTCATAGCAGCTTGACCTGCATGCATAGCTCTAAAATACTGAGCCTCACTTTATGCGCTCCAGTAACCAGATTTGAATACTGTATTATTTCATTAATGTCATTCACTTAATCACTCCCCAGGTACATTACATGATCTAAGAATTCCTTTAACTCCTGAAAAATAAAAAACAAAACCGATCCACCCAGCCAAACCAGTATCCAGCAGTTGCCCACCATAGCCCTGCTGTATCTACTTTCAGCTTTCTCTACATCCTGAAATCAGGTGAAGTTGTAAACTGTGCTAGCTACAGCTTTTTTTTTGCAATATTTATGAGCAACAGTGAATGCTTATAAAAATGATTTTCTAAACCTTATCCAGTTCCTGCTCATAACATAAATGAAATAATGAGGACATACAGGACAAATAGGTCTAAGTAGGTACCAGGTATATTTCATCTGAGTTATTTTGCTTGGCTGTCTCCTGCAATAACACAGTCGTTATATTTATATCCTGACAGGTGTACTAGATGACAGTCTCAGCATATTTTCCAGTCTTTTGGTTCTCTATTAATCTTATATTTAAAGCATTTCTGTTTTCTGTATAACAGCATATCCGAGTGGGATGGGAGCTATTATTGACCACTGTTGCCCGAACGATCAATGAAGTTGAGAATCAAATCCTTACAAGAGATGCCAAAGGAATCACCCAGCAGCAAATGAATGAATTCAGAGCATCATTTAATCACTTTGACAGGGTACAGTATTCTTCTTCTTTTTTTTAAATGGAGTGTATATTCCTGAAACCATTTATACATTCTTCATCTGCTTTACACATTTAAACACAGACAGATATTTACAGACAAGTTTATTTTAAATAGCCAGGAATGCACAATAGTTTTTTTTAAAAAAAAATCTTGTTACACATCTTCATAGTATTCTTTAAGTCAATATATTTGGAATTTCTTGCTCCTGATCAACCCACTATTCTTGATATTTCCCCACTTCTGTATGGCTCACCCAGAATATTAACCCCCTCTTCTTTGGTTGTTTGCTGTTTTGTAATTGCCTCCTTTAAAGCACAATTTCTGGTGACATGTCTTTTATGTAAGATTTTTCTTTTTCTTGTTGCAACTGATGGATCTCCTTGGAATTGACCTTGAATGAACATCTTGGATGCCATGCATCTAATGTTGGACCTTTCGTATTTTTGTGGAAATTATGATGGCTTCCCTCCAATGACTGAAACCTTCTTTGCTCCATTCCACATATCCCTCCACCCATCAACAGAAAAAGAATGGGCTTATGGACCATGATGATTTCAGAGCCTGCTTAATTTCAATGGGTTATGATTTGGTGAGTATTTTGCCATGTGGATATTTCCCTATAGCTTTCTGTGCTTTTCAGATAGCAGTATTTCACAATTATAGAATTGAAAGCAGTCCTATGGGTCATCAAGTCCATCATGCTGCTGAATTCAGGATCTCCAGTTAGAGTCTTCCTAGAACAGTGGTTCTCAACCTGGGGTCTCCAGATGTTTTTGGCCTTCAATTCCCAGAAACCCTAACAGCTTGTAAACTGGTTGGGATTTCTGGGAGTTGTAGGCCAAAAACATCTGGGGACCCCAGGTTGAGAATCACTGCCCTAGAAGGTAGTTATCTAGACTATTTTTGAATATACCCATAGAAGTAAAGCCAAACCACTCTTCCTATCAATCTAGTCAATTGCCAAAACCACTCTTCTGTCAAGACATTCCCTGAAATGTTCAATCAAAATCCACTCTCCTGTAACCTTAAAGCCATTAGACCTAGTTCTTTCCTCTAAGGCAGAAAAGATCAAACCCACACCTTCCTCTTTGTGGCCTTACTGCATGTATTAGAAAAACTCAACAAGAATAATGTCAGATCTGACACTCAGCAAATTACATACTGTGAAATGATGCACTAATTGGGTTGTTGTAGGTTTTTCAGGCTGTATGGCCGTGTTCTAGAAGCATTCTCTCCTGACGTTCCGCCTGCATTTATGACAAGCAACCTCAGAAGTTGTGAGGTCTGTTAGAAACTAGGAAATTTAGAATGCACTAATTATTTCTCATATTTCCTTCTACTATAACTTTCATTATTGTCTCTGAATAAAGGGGGAAGCAGAATTTGCCCGAATCATGTCCTTAGTTGACCCCAATGGCCAAGGAAACGTCTCCTTCCAATCTTTTATTGACTTCATGACCAGAGAGACTGCAGATACTGACACGGCTGAACAAGTTATCGCTTCTTTCAGGATCCTAGCTTCAGATAAGGTTAGTGTATTTTGTCCCCAGGTAATGGAATTTTCCATCCTTATTGTTTCTGTTTACAAATTCTACTTCTGCAAGACAGCAGAGTAACCAGATGCTAAGAAATTGAGCAAGAAACTGTAGCCAAGCTCAGAAATCCAAAGCATGAGATATTTTAGATAAAAAATAACAATTGGGAATTAAACTGTGTGAGCAACTTTAAACATTAAACATTACAAATTCTGCTACTGGAATAAATTGTACTTCAGAGCTGAAATTTCTCAGCCATTTTAACATTTGTATTATAGAGTTATTACTGAAAAATCATGGGTCAGGAAGGGTTTTGGAAAACAACACAGAAAACGTTTGTTTTTCTGTGGAAATGTGTTCAAGATTGAGTTCCATAAATGGGGATTAATTAATTTTGGATTAATTTCAAGGATAGGGGGTTAGAAGCTGTGCTGAATGAAGACTTCCTTCCAGCATTCTCCAAACCGTTACCATTTAGCGAATGATCCATAGGTGTTCTTGCTATTCTGTATAATTCTGTGGAGACATATTTATTTTATTCGTATCCCACCTTTCTCCCAACATGGGCCCCAAGGTAGTGTACAACCTTTTAAAAGAACCATACAGTTAAAAAACTGACTGACCAGGTGGTGAGAGTGCAGACCAGGTTTGAAGCAAGGCTGCCAAATGTTTGCATGGTCAGCGCTTCTTCTCTAACCCTAACCCTAACCCTTAGCCTCAAAGGAATAGTGTTGGGTGAACAGTGCTACCAATTGGGTTTAAAAAGGCTGGAGACATGCTCATTGCCTGATGGGCTCTACTATTTGGCTATAATAGTGTTTCTCAACCTTCCTAATGCCACGACCCCTTAATACAGCTGGACTGGAAGGGTTTGGTGGGCATTGACCTTGAGTTTTGGAGTTGTAGTTCACCTACATCCAGAGAGCACCTACATCCAGAGAGGACTCAAACAATGATGGATTTGGATCTAACTTGGCACAAGATACTCAATATGTCCAAATATGAATACTGCTGGAGTTTGGGGAAAATAGGCCTTGACATTTGGAAGTTGTAGTTGCTGGTATTTATAGTCCACCTAAAATCAAAGAACATCCTGAACCCCACCAATGATACAATTGGGGTAGATTTCCCACACAGAACCCCCATGACCAACAGAAAATGCTGTGTTTTCTGATGCTTTGGCGACCCCACTGACAACTCCTCATGACCCCCCCCCCCCGAGATCCTGACCCCCAGGTTGAGAAATGCTGGGCTAGAGTAATCTGGATGGCAGGTTTCACTCTGTTTGGGTGGGGCAGTGTTCAATATATGCTGGCAGAGCTTGGCTCTCTGAGCCTCATCCCATCTTTCTTCCCTATATTGGTGGGCTTGGGAGGGGGGCACAATTGTATTTGTCATTTTGTGGGACAGTCGGCATGGGTCATGGATCCAGGATTGTTTGGACAGTGTCTAACAGGCATTGGTTTAGTAGGGGATCCCCCTGAGGGTCTTGGGGAGTGTGTTGTGAAGTGATTCTTACTCAGCAGGATCAGAAATTTTACCAATACCCACTGGTGACAGAGACCATGTTAGGACCTCTTAGGCCATTCCTGAGGGATGTGGCTCATCAAACAACAGGTGGGTTGGTTGATGTCTGGATCCAGACCCATGAGTGTAACAGCCCTATCTGCATCTGTGACAAACAAAATTGTGAACTGTTTTCTTCCAGTATATTATGTTTATGTAGCCTGTTGGTCTCTATAGGAAGCAGATCTCACCCCTCTCGACATGCAATCCCATTATGCCATCGTCTAATCTATAACAATTGTTCTAATTGTGAAAAAATCATACAACTCAAAATAAATACTCTGTTTATGTCTTTACAGCCTTATATTCTTGCTGACGAGTTGCTTCGAGAATTGCCACCTGAACAAGCACAGTACTGTATCAAGAGAATGCCAGCCTACAAGGGTCCAGGAGCTGTTTCTGGAGCTCTGGATTATACCTCATTTTCCTCAGCACTGTATGGTGAAAGTGACCTGTAACCAGAGATGGTCAAAGAGCTGGGAATCATGTAGCCCTTGAAATTCTGTTGAACTGCAACTCTCAAAAGCCTTAGCCAGTATAACCAGTCCTGAGGAATTGGTAGCCACAACATCTAGGGGGCCACACCATGCCCAGTCCTGAATTAGTTAGTTTGAAAAACTACATAAAATGTTATAGTCTCTTTGAAAAGCTTGGTCAGCTGGAAATGTGTTCAAGATTATAATTTTATCAAGTTTTAGCATGTACATACAGCATGTAATAATAGCAGAGATGCGGAATATATGAGCTGTAATTCAGGGTAGCATTGGCTGAGTAACTCACTGTTGGCAAGGCCAATGTTACTCAGAATGGTGGTTTGTGGATTGAGGCCAGTCTGTGCGCGATCTGCTTCCAGGAAAGGAAGAAGCAATTATAGTGAATGGGCACAAATATGGCCTCCTGGGGAGCAGGAAATTGCCAGTCTCTGAAATAAGATAAGTAATGTGCTAGGTTGAACTGAGACTCAGAAAAGTTGCAGTTGGACATTTGTTGGGCCACATGTTTCCCACCCCTGAACTATATCAAATAAGATGTGCAGCGTCAATATGTTTTTTGTTATTTGTATTACCTGTGCCGTTATTATAGATATTCAAGGCCACATTGACTCAGCAGTGACTGGCTGGCTTTTTAAAGAAAAATCAAACCCAAAAGAAATACTTCTCTCGCTGTCAAGTTAAGAAGCCTCAGGAAAAAAAGTTTTAAAAAATAGCCTTTTGAAATTCTAACCTTACATAGCTTTAATATTTAGGAAATGTTTTAAGAAAACTTCATGCTTTACGTGAATCTTCCCGTATCTCCCCCCAGGTGTCTCCTTTTTGCTTTCATGCCAAGGTAATGCTTTCATCTACTGGTATCAGATTTGCAATGCTTCTTGAAGATGGAGCTGAATATGCCAGAGAAATAAGAAAGTAAACCAAGCCAGACGCAAAACTATGAAATTTGATTTTACTATTTTATGAAGGTGAAATTTGTTTGAATCTTAGTTGGGCTTTTAATTAGCATGAAGTCACAGATCTGCATGAATTTATTGCCCATAGATCCTGATGGTAATTTTAAAATTTAGCACTGAAAGCACTACCTGGCTTTTGACATGGCAGCTGAAAGGGCACACATTTATAGGGTATTTCAAGAAAGCTCTCTGTGTCTGTGTTAGGGTTTGCCGCGCTTGGTCTTGATTAATGCCAAATGTCTGGTTTATTTAAAATACACTTTGAAATACTGTATGATGCTTTATTGCTAGCAGTCTTCATCTCAGCCGCCATTAGAGCAGAGATAGGTTTTCGTTGACCTTCAGTTTGTTGGCCTGCAATTCCTGTCAGGCATTGCCAGCCACCCAATGATGAGGGATTATAGGAGTTGTAGACTAAAAATACCACAAATCCCCATCACTGCTGTAGAGCAATATCTTTTCTTTAAACCTGAAACCCTAGTAAGCACAGTAAACGCCATTCAGTGCAAGTAAACTGCAGTCTTCACAAATGCTAATGAAAGCTTTACAGTCCAGTACAATTTAAATGTGCCTACTAAATAAAGTCTGCTTTTCAAACCATGATGCTGACTTGATTGTTGATATTCTTTCACAATATCTTCAAAAATATTAAGGCATGCCTTTTTAATTTTCAATAACTTTGTTGCGTTTGCTTTTTCAGCTGTAGTAAACAATCCACAGAACTACATTTTTCAATAGTTCTCTCACATGAGAAATGCAGAAAAGTTTACTGTTAATATTATGACATTGCTGTGAGTTTTCAGGGCTGGGTGGCCATTTTCTGGAAGCATTCTCTCCTGACATTTTGCCCACATCTATGGCAGGCATTCTCAGAGGTTGAGGGGTCTGTTGGAAACTAGGCAAGTGGGGTTTATATATCTGTGGCTTGCCTAGTTATATATCTGTCACTTGCCTAGTTTCCAACAGACCCCTCAATCTCTGAGGATGCCTGCCATAGATGTGGGCGTAATATCAGGAGAGAATGCTTCTGGAGCATGGCCATGATTCTGGCCATGAAAGTGATTCTGGCCATGAAAGCCTTTGACAACACATTAATATTACTTATTGTGACCAAGTTCCAATTGCTTATTTTTAGCTTTTTGTGCCAGCAAAAATTATACTTCCTTCTTATTCCTCTTCTTCTGCTGCCTGTAGGGCAAGTATTTGAGTATACAGAGAGCTAAAGGACAGAAGAGGCGCAAAACCTGACAGAGCCTGTGGGACTCAGAATAGAACAGAATAAAAAGGAGCAACTTTTTATTTTTATTGTACAGTATACAATGAAATTAAATGTGTTCCCCAGCACACATCACAAAACAACACACCCATCCCTCTGCACTCCCACCGCACAGCACTTTACTTACTTACTTAGGCAATCCCTCGTTGTCCGAGTAGGATAGTCTTCCAAGATCAGTGTACTGGTGGGTCCGTAGGTGACTGTGGAGCCCTATTCTTGATCTGCATCTTCTCCTGCAGTGAGGGCATTGGTTTTCAGGTGGAAGGCAGTCTTGGTCGGGATTGGCTTGATACACCTTCCTCTTGGCACGTTTCTTTCTTTCTCCCTCCATTTGTGCCTCTTCAAATTCTACAGCACTGCTGTCACAGCTGACCTCCAGCTGAAGCGTTCAAGGGCCAGGGCTTCCCAGTTCTCAGTGTCTATGCCAGAGTTTTTAAGGTTGGCTTTGAGCCCATCTTTAAACCTCTTTTCCTGCCCACCAACATTCTGTTTTCCATTCTTGAGTTCAGAGTAGAGCAACTGCTTTGGGAGATGGTGGTCGGGCATCCGGACAACGTGGCTGGTCCAGTGGAGTTAGTGGCAAAGGACCATCGCTTTCATTCGGCTGGTGGTTCCTAGTCATGTCTCTACTGGGCCCTCTCAACCAACACTGCCGTATGAGTGCCCCAGGTCAGATCCTAACAGTGACACCCAGGAACTTAAAACTGGTCCCCTGCTCCATTTGATCCCAATTTATGTCCAAGGGCTGGATTTCTGGTCTGTTCTTTCTATAGTCCACTATGGGCTGCTTGGTTTTGATGTTAAGAACCAGATTATTGTCCCTGCACCATGAGAGCAGTCGATCCATTTCATTCCAATAGGCAGACTCACCCCCTTATATACAATATATTGTTAGGATCTAACTATTACAACCCACGTTTCCATTTCAAAAAGTGTCCAAAGCAGCGAAGATATACATACTACTAAAATACAACATTATAATTAAGATACAGTACAAGGCAATTACACATTCCAATAAAGAAAAATAAACTGCTGTCCTCCTTCTCAGGCAGTGATAAGGATCAAACTCTTATTTACAGCCCAGTCCTTTGGGTATTTACTCAGGCATTTATCCAGAAGATTCATTGTGTTTGAGAGTGCATAATTACCAAGCAAATACACTTTTTTGCAATTACCACGAGGCTGCAGCATTCAACAGGCTGCAAAATGTCTAAGGGCAATTCTGTCTAAATAAAGACATAGGGATGTGCATTAAAACTTTACTGATTGTGAATGTATAGATATATCAATCTATTATTTGTTACACATATTGTAAATTATACAGTGCATCTGGTTTTTAAGACAAAAATAGAAACCAATTAATATCTTTTCAGCTCTAAACTTGAAAAGGATGAACAGAAAAATTCTCTCAGTCAGCTCTGAACAAAGTGCTTCCAGTTAATCATCAATATCCCATCTCTGAGAAATGCTAAAGTCATAAAGTCGCTAATAGAAAGAAAGCATATGGGTCAAATGTGCACAATTCACAGAGAATATCTATTATAGGTTGAATGTCCCTCACCCAAAATACTTGGGACTAGAGGTATTCCATATTTTGGAGTACTGGTTTATAGTAAAGGTAAAGGTTTCCCCTTGACATTAAGTCTAGTCGTGTATGACTGTGGGGGGTGATGCTAATTTCCATTTCTAAACCGAAGAGCCGGTGTTGTCTGTGAGCACCTCCAAGGTCATGTGGCCAGCTTGACTGTATGGAGCACTGTTACCTTCCTGCTGGAGTGGTACCTATTGATCTACTCACGTTTGCATGTTTTTGAACTTCTATGTTTGCAGAAGCTGGGGCTAACATCAGGAGCTCACCCTGCTCCCCAGATTCGAACCACCAATCTTTCGGTCAGCAAGTTCAGCAGCTGAGCAGTTTAACCCGCTGTGCCACCAGGGGCTCAGTGTACTGGTATATATGTAATGATATATGTTGGAGAGGGGTCCTACATCTTAACAAAAAAAAAAACCCAATGCTGGTCATTGATCAAAATAATATCTATCTATCTAAACACAAAATTAATTTATGTGTCATCAATTATATATACATGGCCTTATAGTAATTGCATATACAATACTTTTAATAATTTTGGGTCTGAAAAAGGGTCTGTGTACATTGAACCATTAGAAAACAAAGGTGTCACTATCTCAAACTTATGCAAGGCCAATGCTGGTTTCAATTTTTTTCTTCTTTGAAACACACATCAGCCACTATGACTGCAATCCTGATACTTCATTTTCTCTAGCATCACTATATGACAGCTGGAAGCCACTAGCACCAACAGAAAATGGCCCTTGGTAAGTACTTTTTGATTTGTGGAAGAAATGTCTATTCCAAGAAGACTGGAGCACAAATAAAATCTGGTCTTCTAGGTAAGAAGAAAAAGCAAAGACATCATGTTGCATTTTTGCAATATCATACATATTGCTTTCTTGTGTCTCTCATATATATTTGTAGTGCAAAACTATAGATCAGAGGTTCTCAAATTGTGTTCTGCAGAGCCCTTGGGGCTCCGTGGGTGAGAGTGAGGGGCTCCTCAGACCCATGCTTCTTCTCACCTCATCTTTCCTTCTCCTGAGAAATGCAGAGAAATTAAAGTTTGGAGCTGCTGGAAACCACAGTGGCGGCAGTAGCAACGTCCTCCTGTGGCACAGACCCCCCACTTCTTTCTTTGCTTCCAAAAGCCTATTTCCATCGCTCAGGGGATGCTTTGTTTTTCCTGCATGATAGAAAGGGGAGTGGACTGGATGGCCTCTGGGATTTGTTTTCATTTATTTATTTATTTTATTTATTTACCCTATTTATACCTGGTCTTTCTCTACCTCAAAGGGGAGTCAAGGTGGCTCACATATGGCAATTATTCAATGCCTTGCAACACATACAGACATTAAAACTTAAAATCAGTTGAGTTAAAATTAATACAAGTTAAGCATTGTTGTTATTGTTATTGTTACTACAAAGGCTGGATGATCATCTGTTGGGGGTGCTTTGATTGTGCTTTTCCTGCATGACAAAAGGGGGTTGTACTGGATGGTCTCCGGGATTTCTGCTATTATGATTATGATTATCATCATTATTACAAAGGCTGGGTGGCCATCTGTTGAGCTTTGTGCTTTTACTGCATGGCAGAAGGGGGTTGGGCTGGATGGCCCCTGGGGTCTTCCACTGAAATACTGTTAAGTTTATGTTGGTTAAAATTGTTCGAAAATATTCTATTGCTCTTTCTTTCCCTTTTCTCCCACTGTGTGAATTAGTTCACGCAAACACTCTCCATCCATCTGCCACTGGCCCGGCTCATTCCTGATAATATAATATAATATAATAAATATAATACACAATATAATATATAAACATTTGAAACGGTTGCTTCAAAACAGGCTCTGTGGCTGAAAAAGTTATAGATGGTGCTGAAATGTATTTTCCTTTCCCTAACTTTTTAATTGCAAGTAGAAAAACTTTTGTGGAAAAAAATTGGTGGACATCATACAGATCCTTAAAATGTTTTTCCACCAGCCCCCCCTTCGAGACTTCCTTTCCCCTTAGCTTACAGGGTCAATTCACACATTAATGCTCATGCATATTCCATATGATTAAACCATTTTCATTTCTACAATATGGCTTCCTCAATAACTGAACTTGTAAATTAACCTGTTTACTTTCCAACGTGGTGTTGCTGTGTCAAGTCATTTCTGACATGGGCCCAACCCTATGGCAGACCAACCATGGGTTTTTCTTAGCAAGATTTGTTCAGAAGGGGTTTGTCACTGTTTTTCCATGAGGCTAAGATTGCATGATCATCCAAGATCACCCAATGGGTTTCCATGGCCAAGCAGGGATTTTAACTCTGATCCAACATGGCTAGCTGCCATACCTTCAATATCATGAAACAATCATGAAACAAAGCACACTAAATGAAAGGAGATGAGGAAAATCATCTGGCAAAAATACGTTTTTCATGATTTGAGGAAGCAAATTTTACAATCTGACAAACATATTCATAGTGTCTGAGATAGAGGAGGAAAAACTTTTGGGGAGAATTACTGGAAGGAGAAATGGTTAAAAAGTCCTTCTTGTATGCCTCTTCTTCCCAACCATACTTCAATATCAAAAGGTGAATGTTGTCATATACAAGCTAATTCTGCCTTTAGAAACCACTTGAATCTTCAATCTGTGTTTCTAAAAACCAGTTGGTGTTTTCCCCCCCCAGTCATTACTGCTTTGGAGAAACATGTGGTCACTACACAGAATAAGTATCGAAAATATGTCTTGGAAGTTAATATGCCTGAT